CTGTAGCCTTTCTGCACGTATACTTGTTTTTCCTAAATACTGCTGTAAAAAGCCCCCCTCGAACGACTATGATTTTCGCTCGAACAGGGAGCTTTTATGTGTTTAACGGGTAGTCTTTCTGTGTGCATATTTGTTTTTCCTAATATATGTATTTTTCTAAATTAAACCAGCAACTACTGTCAACATGACATATTGCGCCGTGTTCCCTGTGCAGGCCACATGTAAATGTACCTACGCAGATGTTTTTGTGCTAAGCACCAACTGGTATCACTGATATAAATCATCAGTGTATAGGCTTAAACAAACTCGAAATAAGTCAAGTACCCAGCTGGTTTTCCTCTACTCACTGTAAAGACTTCAACACATCCCCTTCGAGTGTAGTTATACCTCGAACGGGTAGTCTTTCTGTGTGTATATTTGTTTCTCCTAATACTCATGAGCAGATTTTCCGTCCGCCTATACAACGTCCTCAACTCGATCGCACAAGGGTCGGAGTCTTGGCACTCCCTGTATGAAAATGATATTAAATGGCTACCGCTGCACAGGGTTCCAAGTCTCCGATACCTGTGGTACATGGGTACACTGAGAGATTCCGGCGCTACCGTACTGCGCTCTAAGCATCCCAGGGACACAGGAACACACATCAGCAACGTTCTCTTCTACAGCAGAAGTGGGCCCTGTTTAGTGCCGGTATGTGACCACGGGTTGGAGTTAACGGCAATTGTGCTGTGAGCGCAGATTTGAAGTCAAGACAAGAAAAGAAAAAAAATGTGTCCAGAGATTTGATCGACACTATCCCGGACTGTATGCGTGCAGGTTCTCCGAGGTTCCGAAGACAGCTGTACCCTGGCTGAGCTACTGTTTCAGCAGTAGATCTCAACAAAGAATGGCTATATGCACTGTAAAAGAGCGAGGAGAGAGCAGCCATTAACGTAACGCAGTGCTTCGGAGATGATAGTGGAGCCATCTACATCGCTTAACTACGAGTTGTACACGTACACGGTAGTCTGTTTTGCGGTGCCCAGTACTACACTACTGCTGTGGACTGGATACGAAGCGGCGGCACAACGGTTGCGGAAGATTTATCCACACCTAGGCTGTGTAATAGGTGGACCGATTTTGAAAGCTGCATTTCTCCACGAGGAAGAGGATGCCGGCAATCACACAATACTCTGTAGGAAAAGCTCCGGACGGTTCCAACGCCGCCAATTTTGGCACCGTCACTGATTTTCCTGCCGAGTATTTGAGCTTTGAATATCCCTACGAAGGTGTCTCTGTTTCTCTCATGCAACAACCACAACTTGCCACGTGCAACCTTGGGTGCAGGAGTGCTCTCCCCGTGTGGCAAACTCCCAAACCAATAAACACACCGCAAATCTTGCGCGATGCAAGCATTACATTGGCATTGTGAAAATGTATATGTACCTCGGTTGATGATAGGAGGCAACCGTCGCACAGAAGGAGTCGTTGCCTCTGCTGTGCCGGGCACGGGCGCACCGGCTGCACCGACGAGGACTTCCAAGAAGCGATCCTCGAAGTACCCTAATGAAGCCGCGCTAAGCTTCCCAGCTGCAGCATCGCTCGCTGTGGCCTGCACACTTTCATCGCTCCCCACCTGCACCCTTCTCATCGCCAACACCGAGAGAGTACAGCTGGCAGTACCAAGAGAGGCAGATCTGGAGCAAAATCAAAGGGATGGATGTGTTGTGGTTGACTCTGCTGCCGTTTTGCCCTGCAGCGGCCCCGCAGACATATTTTGAACGGGGCGTTCCAGGAGGTTCGCGAGGCCTACCGTCGCTCGCCCTATATCGCGCTTGGAGACCCAAACAGACAGACAGACAGAAAGACAGGAGAGCAGAGGGAAAGAGGACAGAGAAGGCAGGAGACGACAGACGGGCAGGTCGGAGTCATTGCTCTTGGTTTCTTGTTCGTATCAAAAGGTGCAGTGAGATTAATGGTTGACTCCCTTGTTAGCCTTCGATGCCTCCCGAAGCCTGTGGTATTCAATCGCGCGCATTTGCACACGTACATATCCACAGCAGGGTTGATGGATCACATCCATGGATGCGGCTGCGCTGGCAAAAGTTGCAGACGAGTCTACTGCTCGCTGCAGCTTGATAATACCTTGCCAGTCTGTGTTGTTCACGTTGCCGTAGCGTCTGGCATCTTGCAACAGAAAACATGTTCATTGCCGGCTGCGCCACAGGCTGTTGTTATACAGCACTCCTGTTAGGTACTAACGCGGCGCCCCTGGGTAGTTTAAGCATGGTACGCATGTTTCAGCGACAGCAAGTGGGTTGCAGCGGGTATTGTGGCTCTGCGGTTTGAAGCTGGAAGGGCAGCAATACTCAGAACGATCAAATATATTATGTGTTGTGAGGGCGCAATCCTGCACGAGGAGTGCTTTTGGTATCGTGATTGAATACCCGGTTCGCCTAACAGTTACTGCGTACAGATGGTGTGTCTAGCTCAAGCCGTGCATGGCCCGCATGAGTTGCGCTTGTGCGCTTTTCTCGTAATGCAATTGTGGGGCTGCACGGCAGCATGAAAGCTATCTGGTGCATATGTAAAGCAGAGGTAGACGCACACACAAGGCTAGCCTCACAGACAGCAAGTGTTTTCGATTGTTGAGTTGGTCATGTTACCTTCCAATGTGGACGTGTTTCTCGTGGAGGTTGTGGTGCTTGCGTAGTAGTATACTAACAGCAAAGAGGGTGTAACATAAGTTTAGCAGTAGCGGGCGCGGTCCCCGGTACAGCATAGCTAGGTCTTGTGTCTATCGCTTGGTGCTGGAGGGCGAACCAAAAAGGCTCCCAACTCACCCCAAAAGTGTTGCACGGGTCCCACTGCACGATTAAGTATAGACTATAGTCTCCAAGGTGGCCGTGAATGTAAACCCACGACAGCTGTTGTGTGTCCCCCACGCTTGTTTACATTTACCTAGCTCGTGTTTCTCCTTATACACTACCGCATGATTGGCAAAACGGTTCGAGCTGTTCATCTCGACAGTGCCACGGATGTGGTGACACACGCTATTTCAGCACCTCGCCTTTGGCTTCCTGCGCTTAAGAGTAATAGTCGTGCGGCCACGACGTGATCACGAGTAAGGGCTGCCAACAGGCCCATACTTACAATCTCCGTGTGTCCCTTTGTTTCTACTGTGACTCAGATGTCATCTCTTGTAACCGCGGGGCTGTTTGCCTTGGCGGTCTCGACGGCAACCGCCTTCGTGGCTACCCCTGCTGGGGCCGGCGCTGTCAGGGCTCGGAACGGTTTTTCTACCACTCGCCGCGATGCGACTAGCCCTGCAGCGATTTCGAAAAGAGGTGGGCTGAGAATGAGAACGAATCTCACGCGTGCGCTCTTCAACACGATGGGATGAAATCGCGTCAGTGATGCGCCTGTGGTAGGGTTTGCGGCAGTCTCCGTCCGTTTGGAGTCGTGATCGGTACTCTGTCATTTTGGTTTCCATGAGCAACAACGCCGGGGAAGCGACGCGACGACTTCGGCCGGGCGCCGGTCTTGGACCTGAAGCTACTGCTGTACCCTGAAGGCTGTTGCCGAAAATGCAGTCGCGGCTTGACTCGCGTTTCTCCTTTTTCATGGCTTGGCAGGGGTGGCCACCCGGCGAGTGATGTCCATGGGTGATGACTACGACTACGACCTCATCATTGTGGGCTGTGGAGTGGGCGGGCACGGCGCTGCTCTGCACGCGCGCTCTTGCGGTATGTATGTTCAGAAAGTGGGGTCGTTAGAAAGCACAGCGCAGCTGTGGTGAGGGTCTTAGCTTTTGACGACAAGCCGGTGACGCCCTCTGTAAATACTGGGCACGTTATTTGTGCTGTTGCTTATTTCGAATGATGATTCAGAGGTGTCGTGTTGACGTGCATCGGAGAGTCTGAAGCATGTTTCGGAGATATCGATGTCAACGCCGAAATGACGCTAACGGGCCTGTATATTGTTCAAGTATGACAGGATCTACTGGTGGCAAAGTAGTTCTGAAATATATCCACTTCTACCATGACCAGGCGGCTTTCTAATGTTTTCTGTTGGTATCGTGTGTGAGTTCCAATGCCGAAACACATTGCCAACGCTTTACCGTGCATGCACGGCGCACTGGATTCATATCGCTTCTACTACACGCTATGCAGGGCTGAAGACGGCCGTCTTTTCTGGCAAAGATGTTGGTGGGACTTGCGTGAACCGTGGCTGCGTTCCGTCTAAGGCGTTGCTAGCTGCTGCGGGACGGGTGAGGGAGATGCAGGACGACCACCACCTCGACGGAATGGGCATCAAGGTGAGGGTAGAGGAGATATTGGGCGATACGGTATCATGATAACGCACCGACCTTGCCTTCTGTGAGACATCGAGGGTACATTCTACGTGGAGTATCTTCCCAGATTCTGCCAATGTCATGATAACGCACCGACTTGTCATTCTCTCAGACGGCGAGCCTGCGTTCTACGTGCAGTATATTCTACACCCAGATTATATCGCTTGGGAGTGTTGAAGTGTCAGTATATCATTCTAGCACACCGCCACGTGTGGGGCTTGGCTTCTTGGTGCAGACACCAGTTGTGCACGTTGGTGTGGCCTTGTGACAACCGCTTTGAAACGTTAGACCAGTCAACCGGTATGGTTCTTCTGGTATCAGACCGGTTTCCGAGAGCCTAGCCACGGCAGTCGAGAGCTTACGATTGAAAGAAGTAGGATGAGCTTGTTACGTAGCCCAGGAGGAGTATGAAATGTGGCTCCCTGCTCACCACGATACTCGTTTGGTCGTCAAAGCGCGATTACTTGACGATTTGGGGCCGTGACCAGTGCTGCAGTAGCATGTACGACGGAGCATTCTGCGGTAGCATTGTAACAGTGAGAGGTTCCGCGATCCGCCCATGCCCCTGTGCCGCTGCTCTTGTACCCCCTTGCTATCTTGGTGGTTGGCGGGAAAAGTTGGGCTGAGAGTTTGGATCTTACGTTTCACCGCCGTTAGGTGAACCGCACCTTCGGCAAGACGCTGCTACATCAGCTTTGACCATCCTGTCCGTTCTTTCCAAGTGAACGTTTGACTCTGTTTTGGTGGCTGCGCTTGGTTTGCAGTTCACAGGTCACGGTGTGTTTCGATCAACCCATCGTGTACACTAGTGGGTAACCTCGCAGCCTGCTAAGGGCCAGGTCATGGGTTCGAGTCCCGGAAGAGTGAGTTTTTTCTCACTAAATAAATCCTGGTCTAGGATGAAAGCGACGCGCTGCAAAGCTCGTTGTTAGTAAACCTCAATCGACTTCGTAAGTCGCGAGGGAAGGCATTGCTGTACCCTTCTCGCGATAAAAATACCTCAGGCATGAACCGCAGGAGGGGGTCCATCCCCCCCCTCCTATGTGACCCCGGTTGGATCGTCTAGCTAGTAGAAGTGGAGGATAGTGGCCAGAGGGGCAGACGACAGAGTCCAATGATGGGAGAAAAAAAAAAAAAAACGTGTTCTCCCCAATTCTACAACACAATAGAAACAACGGCAACGCTACAATAGCAGCGACGACGGAAACAGCAGCAACCACGTCAAAACTACACAATTCTACCTACATGAGCAACAGATCACCACGACTGTCCAGCAGCAGATTACAACAACGATGCACGTGTGTGTTGAAGGTGTCCGGTGTGGAGTATGACCGCGCCGGGGTGGCCGCTCACGCCAAGAACCTGGCCAGCAAGGTGAAGGGGGGCCTGGAGGGCTCCTTGAAGACGCTGGGTGTTGAGGTCATCGATGCAACGGGAGAGCTAGCCGGGGCCAACACCATCAAGGCCGTGGAGACTGGCAAGACGTTCACCGCGAAGGACATCATCCTGGCCCCGGGCTCTCTCCCGTTCGTACCGCCTGGCGTACAGGTGTGGAGCCCGCACGTTGTGTTGATGATGCTGCCACTGATGCCACTGTACATGTACTGTAGAACATGTACCGTAGTTATAAAGTCCGTTATTCGAGACACCTAGATCGTGTGCTGCTGTGGGCAAGACGTGGAGCGCGCCCCACTGCCCTGTGTGTAGAGTCGGGTTAGAGTTTGGTTAGAGATAGGCTACCCCAAAAGTAGGCTTCCATCGGCAAAGACGAGGTCTCTCTGGTGCCTTGCTTGTAGCCCGGGTCGTTATAAACGTACACTGATGCAGTACAGCCGTAGTTCCTCGGGCCTCTCTTGGTTGCTGTTATTGATTTGTACATGTTGAGGGTGGCGGAAGTGGCGTTGGCTGTTGAAACGATACGTCTAGGCCTTCCGCACAAGAGTTTCGGCCAGGGCGTACATGTACACGATGTACGTCGGTGTTTTTTTGGGTACGTGTATGTTTTTTGTTCTGAGAAGAGGAGATTCCGTCCCCCGCCTGGGTACGTGCAGTGGCTGAAGGCTGCTTGTGTGTCGTCTTTTGACGAATACGATGGTGCCTCTTACACCTCTTGGTCCTGGCTCGTACGACTGCGGCTCATGTGATTCCGAGAAGACTCGGCGTCAGTGATGAGATTTTATCGTTGTCTGCTGTATCCAGAGGCGACTTGTGCAACACTTCTTGAATTCTTCTCCCAGCACCCGATGACGTAACCATTGTGATTTGTGCCGGACCGTTCATTAATCCACGGCACAGGCGGACGGGAAGACGGTTTTCACATCGGATGAGGCGCTGGACCTGGCCTTCGTGCCGGAGTACGCCGCCATCGTGGGGTCCGGATACATTGGGCTCGAGTTCTCAGATGTGTACACGGCACTTGGGGCAGAGGTCACGTTCATCGAGGTGCGGAAATGAATGAGGTCTTGGTCATGAGATCCTTGGCGAGGGGGGGGGGGAGGGTCTGGCCGCATACAAGGCATGTAGGCATGTACAAAATGCAATGTCCCATGTCCATGCAATCCGATGTTGAAGAACAAGGGCCGTTTGAATCAAGCAAGCGTGGGTATGCTGTGCAATATGTTGACTCTGCCCTGTTTTCGTGCAGGTGTCTGATGTCGAATGACTCCCGTCCTGCCCCTAATTAAGCCTCGAACGTAGTCATCCCTGTGCTATGCGGTTGCCAAACGACCGATCACTTCTGCCTAAAACATGATTTTGTTGGCCGGTATCGATCCCTAAGTCAACAACAACCCTCGTGCCCTGCCCAATTTGTTTTCGGCTTTCTGCAGGCGCTGCCTACGCTTATGCCTACTTTCGACCGTGAGATCGCGCGATTGGCGGAGCGGCTGCTGATCAAGAGCAGGCCGATTGACTACCGCTTGGGGGTGTTCGCGTCCGAGGTTATCCCGGGCGTGCCGGGCGAGAAGCCGGTGACCATCAAGATGATCGACGCCGATACCAAGGAGCATGTTGAGACCATCGAGGTACGGCTTTTGCCCCTGCTGCTACTGCTGTTGTTGCTTTTGTTTTTCTTTATCGGATTTTTCTGACGCGATACAGTACAACAGCGCTGTCGTATTCCACCCATGCGTGTCGAAGCTACGTTCTAAAGAAGTGCAATACTATCAGCCTTTAAAACGTTTCGTGTTTCAAAATATATATCCAGTGTGCGCGTCTCACAAAGGAACCTCCAATTTTCCCGACCCTGTGAAACGTGATGCGTCCCTGCCTAAACCTGTGCGGCGCTTATGTGCCGATACATGTACACGGTCCTACATGCTTCTTGTAGGTGGACGCTTGCATGGTGGCAACGGGGAGAGTGCCCAACACCAAGACCCTTGGGCTCGAGAACATGGGCATCGAGACCAACAGGGGCTTCGTTCAGGTGGGGGAGAAAACGAAAATCGAAAACGCGGTGGGGTCTTCCCTTGGAATTTTTTTCCTGAAAACTTCCGCTGGGGTCGCCACAACAAGCCGGCAATCACGTGCTGGTATATAACATGTGCATAAGTGAACGATGCTTTTGCCGGGGAGACGCCGTGAGTTGAAAGTGAACCCCCCCCCCCCCCCNNNNCCCCCCCCCCCCCTTTGCTGTGAAGTGTTTGTGACTTTCTGTGTCACTCCGGTCGTTTTGTGCAGTAGCTGGCGACCGAAACGTGTCAGTATCGTCACCGCCGTCGGCAACGTGCGTTTGGACTGCCTCTGCTTTGGTTGTACGCTCGGCAGCAATGTGGGGGTTCATTCAGTGCCTGCAATCCTCCAGCCACGTTTCCACGAGATGGTAGCGCTGGTTTCTTGGATAGATTGGATATGCGTAACCGTTCATTCCCTTGACCGCGCTCCGATCCATGTGTTTTTTTTTTTTGGCTCAGGTGGACGGTAAGATGCAAGTGCTCACCAAGGAGGGGGGCGACGTAGTGCCTAACCTCTACTGCATCGGGGATGCCAACGGCAAGCTTATGCTCGCCCACGCCGCCTCGGCACACGGCGTCAGGTGTGTCCATGTGAACAATTTGACCGCCATGACATGACAGTTTTTCTTATCTTTGTCCCGCACATATGACGTAGTTCCTCGAACGCCGGAGATGACTGGAGTGTTGTTCTTGTTTCTGTTCATGTTGGACTCTTTTGGGGATTTTCCCTCGATACACCCTCTGCCCAAAACCTTTCTTCCTTAACGGATTTCGACAGAAGTGTGGAAAGTATGGTGGTGTCCGTGTGCACCTTAGTCGCGGGGGGGGTTTGTAGTCTAGTGCCTCGGTTGTGACCTACGGACGAACGCGTCTTGTAGGACCTGTCTCCTTCTGGCTTCGGGGGGGGGGGGGAGTACAAGGTTAGGTTTTTGACTGTTGCCCCTGCAAAGCATGTGCGTCTACTGTTGTTGCCTTTCTTCAACTCTGGTGTGCGCTTACAATCCAAGCCTATACCTCTACCCTAGCGGAATGTTGTTTTTGCCCGGGGGACCCCACCATTGCGATATTCTGGCTCTTGTTGACTCTTGCTGGCTCTGCTCTCCTAGGCTCTGCTCTGGGTTACGCTATTGATGTCTGCATGCTTTTACAACTACACTTAAGCGCTCGTGTTTCTCCCCCGACACGCATTCTTGGGCTCGTCTGGTGTCTGGTGTTCTCAGCGCCGTGGAGAACATCATGGGAAGGGAGAACGAAGTGGACCACTTGGCCATCCCCGCCGCGTGCTTTACGCACCCAGAAATCGCCATGGTGGGCCTCACGGAGGAACAGGCCAAGGAAAAGGTACAGACAGTAACAGAGAGCGTTTTCAAGCGGTTTTGTGGTCACTGCTCTACGAAACGTTCGAGGAGAATACGTGCAGTAAACAAGTCTTACGAGGTATATGCGCCTTCAGGCCAGGGTAAATAGTAAACCATGGCGGACGCAGGTATGTTTGGTTTTTCGTCTACTCCTTGCCGCGGTCGTGGATATTTCTCGGTTGTCCTGTCCGACCCGATGTGTGTGTTTCTTGATGGCGCCGGTCCGCGCTTACCGGCTGGCCATTGAAGAGACGTCAGTCTCCGTGCGGTTGAAACACGAAATGTTTCTAAAGTCCACGATCTTGGACCCTGCGAGGGGGCATCATGGGGGAGTTTATGCTATTCTCCGCATCAAAGACAGATACCGTCGCAACAACAAAAGAAAACTGCACGTGTTTACCATGGCTGCTTCTAAGTTCGACGCATGTGTGTTGTTTGCTTCTTCAAGGCGGCCGAGGAGGGATACGAGCTCGGAAAGGCTAGCGGCAGCTTTAAGGCCAACTCCAAGGCCCTTGCGGAGGGAGCAGGAGACGGCATCGCCAAGGTAGAGACTTGGTTAGCCCAGCCCCAGGGTGTACATCAAATCGGAGTTGGGTTATCCTCTTGCACTACAGCTGTAGACTTGACCTACATGTGATCAATACCTCGCCATGTTCCTTTCCGGGCGCTTCAAGGGGTCGATTACAGTGTTGAGGTCTAAAGCCACCCGATAGGACCGAGAGCACTTCAAGAGAAGAACCAGAACGCGCTTTCCGGATAAAAAGGAATAGGCAGGGCACGACAGATGAATATCGCCGTCAGGGTAGAATGTATTGGATTGTCGGACCTGGCTCAATACCCCACGCGAGTTATCTTGAAATTTTACGATTGTCCTTGGTGCAAGTATTTTTGATTGCACCGGACTCTCCGGAAGGAGGGTGCCACCTCACGTTCAATTTACAAACTACTGTAGACAATGTTGTGGGAAAGGTGTCGACTACTTGATACAATCAGCACTGGCATCCCCTTGTCGCCGAATAATGGGGAGTGTGGAAAATCTGTGACACCCCTCAGTCTTTGATGCAGTTGATATACCTCTGTGCCGGACACCAGATTCCACTACAGTTGTGCATGTGTAAGTTTATGTGATTGTGCAGCGAGTCCTTTGTCTACTCAGAGTGTGCAAGTCGTCCGCCTGCATCCCTGATGTTGAACGGTCCTCGCCCCCCTTTGCTCTGTCATTCGTACTTTTTCTCATTTTCTCAATATGCAGTAACAGTACTGTATGACGTTATGCCTGCTACCGTTTCACACTGTATCAAAAGTTTGACACTGTATCTAAAGCATATTGTGTTTGTAGGTGCTCGTATCTAGTTTTACGAGTTTTGCTCTCTCCCTCAATCGACTTGTGGCCTGATTGTACTGCTGTATGCTGTACAGGTGCTGTTCAACAAGGAGACCGAGGAGATCGTGGGTGTTCACATCATCGGCCTGCACGCCGCAGACCTCATCCAAGAGTGCTCCAACGCTGTTGCTGCCGGTACCACTGTTCGAGAGCTGTCCATGATGGTGAGAGACACAACACGGACAGACAGCTGTCTAGAGCCGGAGCGTGTGTCGGTGTTGGCGCAATTCAATTGATTGCTGGCGTTTGGAGGTTTGGAGGGTAGGGTGGCCACAGCAGTGATGGCGGTGCTATAATCGAATAGTCGTTCCTACCGAACGTGCAGATACCAGCAAGTGAGTGAGAAGACAGGTCAAGTCATGACAGGACAGCGAAACAGGCCGTCGTCCGGTGTCGGGGTTACATCCCATATTCCATATTTTGGTGGCCCGCTAAATTTATACCGTTATCACCGTCGTTAACACCACTAGTCCACGGTAACGGTGTACAACAAGGCTTGAGCTTCCAGTCACACTTGAGTGTGGCAGGGGATTCAAGGAATGCGTCCCCTTGTAAACCACGACGCCTGCTGATTTCGTGTTTGTTGATCACGCCACAATTTCGAAGTGATGCTTGTATTTTGTGGTGTATGTCCTTTCTTTTCCCTTTTTGTACTGTCGACTACTGGATGCTGTCGGCGCCTGGCCGTTTTTGGAGCATATCACATCCTCACGCTACCCTGCTGTCTGTCTGTCTTATGTGGCGAATCAGGTCCACACCCACCCCACGCTGTGCGAAGTCTTGGACGAAGCGTTCAAGGGAGCCATGGGCCGCTCGGCCCATTAGACCATTCACATTTACGTTGTTAGTCGCTAGTGCGTGGTTACGAGGTCGTGTGTCAGGCAGTGTTTAGGATGGACGCAACTATGCCGAGTAACGTTGAGCTTTCGAATATGTCGCGGTCGCTTGTCTAGACTACCATGCTACCATTTTGTTTCCGGTGAGCAAGGCGCCGACTGCGAATCCGGGAGAAGATATTCAAAGGTCTGGATCCGCACATATTGGTAGAGCATCGTCTCGTGTTTTTCTGTTTGTCGCGGGGGTGTTGATCACCACTTCCGTGTCAGCCAAGGGAGCTGTGGCAGCAGTATCGTATTGCTCCCAACTATCGTTAGCTTTCCATTCGTGTGGTGGGAGGGTCGAATGGTTGCGAGATAGATCGGTAGGAGAGGTACATTGGGGAACGAAGCGGGTGCAACGCACATCTTGAACTGCCAAAATGTTGGCACTTGAACCTCTCTGTCGCATATGATGCATTTTTCACGTTTCTTTTTTTTTTTCTGTTTTCTTCTTGAGCGAGTAGAAACTACTCTATTCAACGCTTTGTGCTGGCGTGCGCTTTGTTGGCACTGAATTGACCATGATTGGCGTATTCACCCAGACGTCTGCATCACTTCACATATTTGTCATGATGTCATTCCAAGCCCTACAAACATTTATTCACAGTAGGGCCTTGATGGGCGCTGCTGCTGCATCTTGTTTTATCTACCACGTCTTTCTGTTGAGGTCGTGTCTGCCGTATGGGGGTTGGGTGACTGCGGCGTAAAAAGCCAGCTAACCTATTACGACGCAGGTCAACACTGTTCCTCGCGTGTCTGACAGGTTCTCAGGCCAGGTAAACCCATGGCATCAACGCGTGGATCCCAGCTCGTACTCACAGGCACGGCACGAAGCTTCGCCACGACATCAGCACTATCCACATACACGCCCAACGCTGAAAATCGCTGAAAGCAAGCAAGAGCAACCACGAGCCGGTGTACAGTCTAGCCTTGCCTAGCTCCAGGAATTGGAGTTCCAAAACACATAAACTCATACGAACCATGCCTGGCGCAGTCGAGGTCGCGATTCACCACCCCAAATCTGGACAAGTTGACAATTCTGATATTTGTTAGAGAGGCTTGCAACACGTCGACGGCGTTTAAGTAGTCTAGGTGACGAGGTGGCGTTCAGGCGACTCAATTAGGGGGCGGGAACAGCGCCAAAACAATGAGGTGGTGAAATCTGCACTCCTGAAAATTGAAGCCTTTGGGACGTGGCCCGAGCTGAAAGGTCGGTGTGCCAGGTACCAATCACCGAAGGTCTGCCAACAAGAACAGAGCTTTCTGTCACAATGCTGAAATTGCAACAGTCTGCGAATGTGCTTGCTGCTTCCATCTAGTCTTGGGGCTGTTCTTGTTCTTGTTCTTGTTGCTCTAGCTGCTTTTCGTTCAGTCGGTCTCGCGCAGCCCCTCTCACGCCTCTCTCTTGCCCAGAACCAAAGTCGAGGGACTGCCGAAGGCACACGCAAAAGTGGAAGGGTAAGGTGAGGCGCGAATTGGGTGTATATCACCCGACACTTCGCTTCAGACCAACGAACAGCAAGCGCTACGCAACTCGATTTGGATGATTGTCAGTCTGGCGAAGAGCGACTCAAGGGTACGAGAGTGAAGTGGCAATTGGAGGGAGACGACAAAAAACAAGAGCTCTCATTTGGTGAAAATAATACCACCCGTGTATGTATCACCTGCCTGTGAGGAGCAGAGGGGTGGGGCGAATAGGTTGACATAGCAGAACGAGGGGTGTTGCAGGAACGTGCGGTAGGGCAAACACCGAAACCTCAGGAAGAAAGATTTCAAACCGGGGCACGAGCGCATGAAGAGAAGCATGGGACAACTCCACAGCGAGCCGAGTACACAGAGAGGAGAGAACGTTTAATGAGACAACTCCACAACGATAGCCAAGTTCAGCGGCTGGCTTTCGAACGAGGGCGGATAGGCTGCATGGCCGAAGCACTGCTCCGGCTCCCCCCCTTCACAATGCTCGCCCCAGTGGTCCAGTGGGTAGCCTCGCAGCCTGCTAAGGGCCAGGTCATGGGTTCGAGTCCCGACAGAGAGAGTTTTTTCTCGCTAATTAAATCCTGGTCTCCGTAGGAAGCGACGCGCTGCAAAGCTCGTTGTTAGTAACTTGATCGACTTCATAAGTCGCGAGGGAAGGGATTGCTTCACCCTTCTCGCGAAAAAAAAACGCAGGAGGGGGTCCAACCCCCCCCTCCCATGTGGCCCCGGTAGGGTCGTCTAGCTGGTAGAAGTGGAGGATAGGGGCCAGAGGGNAGGAAGCGACGCGCTGCAAAGCTCGTTGTTAGTAACTTGATCGACTTCATAAGTCGCGAGGGAAGGGATTGCTTCACCCTTCTCGCGAAAAAAAAACGCAGGAGGGGGTCCAACCCCCCCCTCCCATGTGGCCCCGGTAGGGTCGTCTAGCTGGTAGAAGTGGAGGATAGGGGCCAGAGGGGCAGACGACAGAGTCCAATGATGGGAGAAAAAAAAAAAAAGTGCCAACGATTTCGACAACCTCTACCCTTGCCCACTTCAACCAAACCCCCTCGAGCGACTCGGAGTTTTGCTCTGGTTCCTACCGTCTTTGCCACCATGACAAAACAGAGATCGGTATATCCCCAATTCCAAAGAGTGCTTCTTCACTCTCTCATTGTCTCTGGTGGTAGTGTTTTAATGTGCATCACAAAATCAGCTTCTCGTGTCGCCCCTGTGAGACCCACCTTGAAGATAAACTTGAGCCATTTGGGTTGGCTCTTGCTAGCTCCTCCTTCTCCGTCATCCGGCTTCCCTACCGTGAACCCGTACCCGTAGCATGCCACCAACGTAGCGATGTTCGCCCAGTAGATGGGCACCGGCTCCTGAACGCGCAAGCATCGCAACCCGCAAAAAATTGTGGAAAAAGGCCGTCAGAGCATCCACCCAAGGCTTTCACGGGAAAACAGTCAACTTAGGAAACTGTGCACCAGAGGCTTGAGAAACCAAGGCTTAAATTGGCGTTTCATACTAGGTGCCGACGAGATGTACCGGTGTAGCGTTGTTCTAGCATACCACGGTACTGCAATGCGAGTGCGCCAGTGCTGTACTGCAATGAGGACGGCGACCGTTCAGCAAACGCTGTTTGGGAGAAGCTGATTGGCTTGAGATGGCACAAGAAGTGTGGCGAATAGTTTCTGCCTGCTTAGCGGGTTCATGGTTGACCAGAGGGTGCGGTTTCTATCTCGCACGACCCTGACCTTAGTGACGAAGGGCATGGCGAAGCTCACGACCGGCGTGGCGAGGAAGGCAATGTCCAAGGCCACCTTCTCCGACGCCCCTGGCTTTCTTGCTCTCAGCGACGGTACCGTGAAGAGCCATACGAACCAGAACCCCAGCACTTGGATGGAAATGTCCACGTGAGGGAAGAACGGCACCTGGTCGCTAGCCTGTTGAAAAACACGCCGAAAAACAGCACTCAAGTACAAGCCTTCGTTTTTGAAGCTGGCAGCACGCCCCATGAATGAATATATTACGGAAGGCTTATGCCTCGCGAGAACAACCGTGGAACAGGCGTTTGGACTAAAGGCTAGGTTGTTGACAACGGTTGAATGCAGCAGTGCAAGATGTCTTGACCAAACGTATGATGTGCGAACAAAATAGACTAGTGGTCAGAGTGTTATTATCGTGGGTAAGGTGACGAGGTTCACGAGGTTGGAAATATCTAGTAAGATTGGTAAGGGTGATAACGTTGACGATGACGTCGATGAGATAGTATTCGCAAGGGTTATCAATCAAACTTCAGTCTTCATGTGTGTGCATTTGCCCCTGCGCGCGAAAAATGAGTACTGCTTCCGGGAAAATAGCGTGTCGCCTAGCACGAGGGGGGCGCTTGATGTGCGCCAGGTGCTACATGGCGCTACATATTTATTTCTCAAAGATTAGAATAACGGGGAGAGAACGATGCGGCAAACCGTATCAGCTTGGAGGAGACGCAAATGAAATCGCATTAGGATTGGACACATCCACTACAAGACACGCCCGCGCTGGTATACTCCAAGCAAATGCGACGGCTCACCATCAAGCCTCCCAAGATGGTCGTGATCACGGCCTGCCCAACGAACACCTTCTTGAGCCAGCCCTGCATGTACATGCGTTTTTCCTTCACCAACGTGGACTCCTTCTTCGCGATCTCCTGCACGCCACAAGACAGTTTGTTCAGTTTGCATCCACAACGACCAATAGCCAGGTTCGGACAGAAAAAAAAAAAGAAGAATAGGGTGGATACTGTTGGTGGGTGAAGCGCCTCGCTGAGAACGTTCGCGATACCAAGAACAGTTTCTTTCCCAGTGTCAAGACCACTCCTGTACGCTTTAAGAGTCAGAATCAACGATTAAACCAGCACCACACGGCGCTTGTATTGCACGACGCGCCTCGACAAGCGACAGCCCGCAAGAAACGAAACTTCCCGCACGAAAATAAAGCCATATACTTTTGAGTTACAATACATCCCTTGCCTTCTAGAATACCTCGTACGGTAGCTGGCGGACACTGTCGGCAATGTATGCGGCACAATTATTTTACAATCAAAACCAAACGCCTCAGCAACGGCGTTGCGGCTGCTCTCAGCACCAAGAAAGCAAGAAACGAGGCACCAACCTAACCCTATCCCTGAGGCAAGCGAGACTACGACGTGGACGCCATTTCTCCGTAAGGGGTGTGTGGGCGGGGGGTAGAAGTGATGGATCAATGCTCTGCCGACAGTTGACAGTTTTCGTCGCCGACAGTTTTCAATTGACCAACTTGGTTGGATCCACCGTTGCACAATAACCAAGAGTCGCAAATCAATACCACAAACACTGTACCTACCTCCTCGATCGCCTTTCGGTCGTTTCCAGGTCCGTCTTCCAACGCAGCACGAAGCTTGACAAGATCCCTCTCTAGATTGATCACCTGGGGAGCAGTGGATAGTAGAAGCTAGCGTGAGACACACGTTTGACAATACTGCTGAGGCAACGGTCGGGGTTGGCATTCGAGGTTCTTATGCTAGCCTCACCATCCCATTATCTACATCTTACACCTCGTGCAGTGCAGATGCCTACCCTATTTGTATCATGATAATGATAAAAAGTAAGTAGAGAGTACTGCCAAAGCCATTCCCATGGACGATTGTCCCACTGGGCGCTGGTCGTTGTCAACGGCTACTGTACTTGGTGTCGGTACTCAGACTTGGAGTGAATGCATCGCTCCCTCACCGCAAAGTGTCATTGTTCTGACTCTGATTTTGTTTCACCTTGGCGGGATTGATGAGCTGGTCCAGTTCCACCCCGGACTCTGCCTCCACCTCCTCCGTCACTCGTTGGATCAATGCCTGATCACCGTGGGACATACGAGGTACATCATCGCCGCGCCATGTGAATCATCATGTAAATCATCACAGACATTCACCATCGTGGCATTATCCATGCTTGTGTGTTTTCCAGGGGTCTTTCGGCTCCCGGTTAGATTATCGATCGTCTGTCATCTTGTTCGAGGATTTTCAGGGTCTGGTTCTTCATCTCCGTTCTTTGATTGGTAGAACTGCTGTGTACCCGTCTTTAGGGTGGTTAGTCTTTGACCGCAGAAGGCGTTCCGCGTCAGTCGGCCCGGTACGGATATTAGAAGGTACTGTACCGCGAAGAGGCCCGAACACACCACACACGGCTGTAAACCACGTTTTCGTTTTTCGGTCATCTGTTGCTCCGTTCTTTTCCCTCTTTTGTACTCGCGTTGCCGCGGAGAGCAGGGTGGGTTGTGCTTCCAAGTATGCGTTACCACGCTTTCTCCAGTACCGCAGAAGCTTGATGGTTGCGGTCGATTCGACATGCACCAATCAGCCTCAGCCGTGAAGTCAGCTCGGTCTACCGGAGCCTAGCGTAGTGCTGGCTGCGGACAGGCTCTCGAAGTGGTAACACAAACCCCCCATGTCAGAACTTGCAACGTGTACTTCACAATGCTGTTCAGAAACTTGCGGGTGGTTTACCATCCCGATCTCTGCCTTCGTGCAATCCAGTCGACAAGCTGTACGTTTTTGTCTGCTTGCAGTGCATAGGACCCTTCTGTGCCTCACTTGACTATTGACCTTTCACCTGATCGAGGGCCATCTCCTCATCCGTCATCTGAGCCATCAGTACATCCCCTTGCCCTTGCTGCTGTCGGCCTGTACTTCTCGGCCGTGCGCTCCTCTCAATACCCCGTACGCGTACATCAACGCCCGAACAACCTCGTCGGCTGCTGGTGCTGGATACATGCACAGCAGACGAGGGCGCCTTCGCCAAGCCTCCGGTCGGTGGCACAAAGGCGTCGGCCCCGCGAAGCGCTGTTGTGTAAATGAAGGTGGACAGCAGATATACAGCGGATCGGGTCAGGGATGGAACCAACCTCTTGCTTCCTTGCTCTTGGTGGTTTCGCATGCTATGCATGTGTTTGTTTGTTTGTTTGTTTGTTTTCTCCCATCATTGGATTCTGTCGTCTGCCCCTCTGGCCCCTATCCTCCACTTCTACCAGCTAGACGACCCAACCGGTGTCACATAGGAGGGGGGGTTGGACCCCCTCCTGCGGTTCCTGCCTGAGGTATTTTTATCGCGAGAAGGGTACAGCGATCCCTTCCCTCGCGACTTATGAGGTCGATCAAGTTTAAAAACAACGAACTTTGCAGCGCGTCGCTTCCGAAGGAGACCAGGAATTAGTAAGCGAGAAAAAAACCCGCTCTGTCAGGACTCGAACCCATGACCTGGCCCTTAGCAGGCTACGAGGCTACCCACTAGACCACCGGGGCGACCGATGTGTATGGGAAAACCCGCACTATCGTGCTGCACCGCCCTATACCGACTCTCATGACTCTCATGACTCTCATGACTCTCATCATATACCATCACTCTCATCACTCTCATCACTCGCATCATATATGTATGCAGCACTACTACGACTGTTGTGGTCGCATTGTACACTGCTGCACGTGGTTGCATTTTGGAACAGCGGTACAGCAGCGGTTGCCGAGGCAGTCTTTCCAGGAATCAACATCCTCTACGAAGTTTAAGAGGGCGACACTCGGGGAACAAAGAGCCCGCACAGGCTATTCACATGCCTTGCTCAGAGGAGTGAGAGAGAGAGAGAAAGAGAGAGAGAGAGAGAGAGAGAGAGAGAGAGAGAGAGAGACGGAGAGA